AAGTCCGGCCACTCCACGCGCAAGCTGTATAGGAGCCGCTTCTCGGCCATGTACTGTACGCGCGCTTCTTTGGAACACGCATGGAGAGGGTCTACGGTCGTCTGCATCAGCATGGTGTCGACCACAGGACTGGATGATGGAGCAGCGCGCGGGCAGACTTCTCGGCATCTGGCTCCCACCTGCTCGATTCTTGCTATGCAGCATCAGCGCTCCGCCTCATCGGTTGCGCAGTGGTCGAGTACCGCAAGCAGAGCAAGCACGCACGCACGCACGCATGCATGCATGCAGTCAGTCAGTCAGTCGACTTGTGATCGACTGTGGCCGACTTCAATTGACGTGTAGCACATGCACCCTCGGCGTGGCGTCGCCGAGACCATGGATGGACTGCTTGGTTGTGAGTGAGTTGACTACAGTCGTAGGTACCGTGCGTGCACGCTAAGACAATTTCGATCAAGCGCATCCCGGCCCGCAATCAACGTACGATTCGCATGCAGCATCCGTGACTCGGTTGTGCTGGGAACCACGAATGAGAAGAGTAGTCGTGAGTGGAATCAAGAATATACTCGTGACTGTACGATGATTCACGTGATTGCGAGCTTGACTCACAGTCAAAAGTCGACGATCGATCGATCGATCGATCGCAGGATGCTAGACTCAAAAGGCTTCCACGAGTTCTACTGTGTGTGGCTGACGCATCCCGCGTATGATAGCGCAAAGCGGAATATCAGAAGTAGCTTGCAGACCCAATATTCCGCAATGCGACGGTCTGTCCACTATAGCCGAGAGGTCGTTTACATCGTGGCGAAGCCATACCTCCCATACATTCACGATTCAAGATTGTACCCGACACAAGGCCCAGCGTTCACCATGCATAGCTGCAAAATCATTCGGAATTGCCCACTCCTCGTGCGTTGCGAAGCGTTGATGTGTCGCCTAGGCTTACGTCAAATCACGCATCCGCCACAAGATCACACTCAAACTCACGAATTGCGCAACAACTCACACTGCACTCACACTGCTCCATGTTAGCAGCTGCAGTTCGGCTTGATGATGCGCTCGTGTAGACCTGATGTGTGTTGTTGCGGTCTCTTTGGTTGGCGTCGAGACGCCTGTGTTCCCTCCATCGTGACAAGACATCATTCGCGCCGCTTGTGGAGACTGTAAGGGTCAGAATCGCTGACAAATTGCTTGGTTCACGATTCATCGCAACGCGGACGCATTTTGATCGAATCAAGAATAATCGTGAATTTTGAATGTGACTGTCATAATTTGAATTTGAATCTAAGCCGGTAGTCAAAGTGTCCTTGGGCTGCAGGAAATCTGCGCTGCTTCCTATCACGTGAACCAAAAGCAAGCGGTATGGTCACGTGCGCAATGCACTGGTCATAGTCAAGTCCACCACGATGAGCTTGTACTCACGACTAAAACCTTGACTTCTCCTCCTTCTCACTCTACTTGTGCTGATTTCTTGCATTTTGAGTCCAATTCGCAGGCCTAGCCTCCATTCACTTCCAGTCGAGTAACAATCCCTCTACGACTTTGATCTCTCGTGATTTTAGCAGCTCGACGCTCTCTACCACAGGAAGTGAATCTGTTAAAGAACTGGAACCTCCTTCGGGCGTAAGCTCTGTCCACTTGGCCTTGCGATCTTACCCAATCCACCACTCTTGGAGTATGTCTGTAGTCGCTGCAGCTACCACATCGGCAGCTCTAGCTCGCCAGTCTACACTACGTTTGTTCGCGACTCAATATGCTGCCTACTTGAGCGGGGTGAGTTTGCTCTCCACGTGTCTGAGAGGCACCGACATCGCATAAGGTCGCCCTGGAACATCTGGTCGTGCAGGGTCGCAGCAATGTCAACCTTCATCTCTCTATACAGCTATCGTCATCTTTTGCTGATACCGAAAGTGTTTGCATCGCTTCTACATGCAGGACTCGGTCTCCCTTCTGACTGCAGACACGACCATCCCACTGCCCGCTCTCGCGAAGGAGGTCGCTGAGAAGTCTTCGAAGGGTGAAGAAGTGCTTGGGCCTAAGGATGCCGCAAAGGAAAGCCTAGATTGGCTACAGCGCGCAGAGGCGGGCGATGAAAAGGTCACAGATTTCCAAGTGAGTGCCGCGGTGAGTGCCATCGTCCCCAGCACGCTTGGAGGCACTCTGCTCGAGCGAAGCTGTGCGTGTCGTGCGGTTGACCTTCACAGCTGAGTCTTGCTGCACCCCAAGTCGCTTGATGCACATCTCACCAGCAGGACGTACCTGACGCCCGCTCTCAAGCCCACCGCCGCCGATCTAGCTGTACTGTCCTTTGTACACCCTCATCTGAGCGACGGCAGCTCCTCTGCTGCCATTCACCACGCCTATCCGGCCCTGACTCGCTGGGCGTCTCAAGTCTCTCACTTGGCTGGTGGACAGGTCCTGCCTCCATTCGAACCTCATTTTGATGGCTTGCCGAAGATTCAGAGAGTGGACTTGGCAGCTGAAAAAGCCAAGGCTAAAGCGGCTGAGAAGGAGGCCAAGAAGGCAGCGGCTGCTGCCACTGCAAGCTCAAGCGCAGCAGCTCCAGCGGGGCCAGGGGTCAAGGACGGAGGAGCCTCTGCTCCAGCATCTGGCGCAGCCGCACCACCCAGTGATGGATCAGGCAGGAAGGAGAAGCCACCAAAGGAGAAGAAGGAAAAAGCCCCAAAGCCCGCAAAAGCGACACCCGCACCTGCCGGTCCACCTCAGCCTTCCCAGATCGACCTTCGCGTAGGCAAGATCGTCTCCATCGAGAAGCACCCCGATGCCGATTCCCTCTACCTCGAAAAGGTCGACTTTGGAGAGGCAGAGGGTCCCAGACAGGTGCTAAGCGGTCTTGTCAAATTCGTGCCCATCGAAGAGATGCAAGGTCGTTGGGTCGTGGGAATTTGCAACCTGAAGCCCCAAGCTATGAGGGGCATCAAAAGCTACGCTATGCTTCTTTGCGCCAGCAGTAAGAGCGTTGAGGGAGAGGAAAAGGGAGTGGAGCCTGTTGCGCCTCCTGAAGGAAGTTCGCCTGGAGACCGCGTGTGGGTGGAGGGCTACGAAGGAAGGGATCCGGACGAGCAGCTGAACCCCAAAAAGAAGGTGAGTTGTAAACACTCCTGCCCATCAGCCTGGGACGGTAATGCAGCAGCCTAGCAATCCTGACAAAGGCGCGCCTCATCCTTTTTTTTGGCCTCTTGTCTGCAGGTGTTCGAAGCAATTCAGCCCGACTACACTACGCTTCAAGACAGATCAGCTGCATGGGTTGGCGTGGGACCTGCAGACAGCGAGGACAAGGAATGCAGACCCAGAATCCTACGGACAGCCAAGGGTATCGTCAAGGCACCCAATTTCATTGAAGCCACTCTGTCATGAGGGTTTCATGTTACGATGGCTCCGGCGAGACGATGCTCGAATCAGGACGGGAGAGCTGCATTGGCGTCGACTATAGGTATCAATTCTGCACGATGTCCACAAACCCAGCATTCTCAAAAATGTGCCAGGAAAGGCGGGAGTGTACGTAAGGGGGAAAACTGCAGCGGCACATCAAAATGAAGCGGGAAGTATCAGTATTGTCCATCCACTGTGGCGATGTGGCTTTCGTTAGCCATCAATTCTTCTTGCCCTTGTTCTTGCGACGTTTGCTAGCGCCCGATTTCTTCTTCGACCCGCCTTGCGACTCAGCAGTGATTTCACTGGAGGGGTGAGCATCGGCGTCTGTGGCCACGCTGTCGGCCTGCGAGACGGTGCGCATACGAGCAGTAACAGCGTCTTGAACAATTGCGTCGGATCCCTTTCTCGATCCAGCTCGTGAATGACCGCGCGAAACACCTGTGAGCAAGCCGGTCGAGCCAGACGAAGGTAGCACCGCGCCTTCTGATGTCGAAGGTGCCCCCGTGGACGAGGATACCTTTCTGACGAGTGAAGTGATGCGTTGCCTGAATTTGCTAGGAGAATCTGACTCGCTAGGCTCTGATCTTTCCACGCGACTTTGCTCGGGCGATCCGCTCATCTCTGCGGCGGTCGCAGGGAAGCTCACCGACGCCTTGGTCTCGTCTGCATCTGGTACCGGCACAGTCGCTGGGGCAGCTGTAACACTGCTGGAGACGCCTGCGTTCGCTTCTGCCGATACGGAGCTTTGTGGGTCCGCATCCGCTTCAGCTGCAGCATCTGGCACTTGATATGGCGCGAGGGCAGGCGATGCTGTCGCAGTGACCTCACTCTGGTTTGCCTCAACCTGTGCAAATGACCTTCCGTTTGCTTCTTCCGCAGCGCTCGCCTGCTCTGCCCGCGGCGACTCCTTCACTGGCGATAGCGAGGCGGGCGGCTCCCCTGCGCCTGGGCTCGTCACTGGAAGAATTCCGAGGAAATTCTTTGGGGCGGATGGGGAAGTGCTCGCACCTTCGTCGCGGACAGCCGATGTCGGTTGGGTGGCAGTCCCGGCTGATCCAGAAGCGACTTCTTCTCCAGGCAGCTTGGCATCTTCTTTGCTCAGAGCTTCACCCGAGGCACTCTTGGCTTCGTTGATCTGGGCTCGCCACATGCCTGCATAAACGCCATTGCGCCCAACAAGATCCGTGTGACTTCCACTCTCGACAACTCTACCGGCATCAAGTACCTGCAATCAACAGATTGAAGCCGTGAGTAATGCGGCCAGTGTCATCATTCGCCGATCTCGCCTTCACTCACGACGATACGATCCGAGTTGACGATCGTGCTGAGACGATGCGCGATAGTCAAGCTGCTTCGGCCATCAAGTAGGGTAGATAGCGCGGTTTGGAGCAATTGCTCGGTGGATGTGTCCAAAGCAGATGTGGCTTCATCAAGCAGCAAGATCTTCGGGTTCTTGAGGAACGTGCGTGCCAGAGCGACTCTCTGCTTCTCCCCACCCGACAGTCTGACTCCCCGCTCGCCTACCACTGTGCCCATGCCATCGGGGAAGCCTTGAATACGGTCCCAGATCTGGGCTGCTCTTGCAGCTGCCTCGACGCCTTCGTCACTTGCATTGTGATCGCCGTACAGAATGTTGTGCTTAATGTCCGTGTTGAAAAGGGATGGCTCTTGGGGTACGATTCCGATAGCTTTGCGGAGAGACTTTTGCGTTACCTTGGAAATGTCCTGCCCATCAATGAGAATCTGTCCGGATTGAATGTCGTAGAAGCGGTACAGCAAGCGGAGGATGGAGCTCTTGCCTGCGCCTGATTCTCCCACCAAAGCGCACGAGGAGCGCATGTTGATCTTGAAGCTGACACCAGCCAGGGCATTGACCTTGCCATCGTATGAGAAAACCACGTCACGAAATTCGATTTCTCCGTTTGTGACGACGAGGTCCTGTGCGCCAGGGAGGTCTTTCACGTCGCTCTCTTGCGCAAGAAGCTCCACGAGCTTGTCGGTATCCACCTAGTGCCATGCAGAAAGGATGCTCAGCAATGCTTCTCAACACATTATTATGCAAGAGGTGAACCACGTACCAAATTCTGCTGAATGACTCGATACAACGTTCCCAGCCAGTTGAGGGGACCGACTACTTGAGTGACGTAAGTAAGCATCACAACAAAGTCACTCGAGGTCGCCTCGCCTCGAACGACTGCCGAAGCAACAAGGAGAGATGCGAGGAGGGTTCCAAAGGTGATGATCAGATTCTGCACCATGTTGAGCAGGGAGAGCGAAGCGGTGACTTTAAAGGCGCTTGCTTGGTAAGCCAAAAGAGCTTTCCGGTACCGCTCGACCTCGTAGCTCTCGGCGCTGAAGCCCTTGATGGTCTCCCAATTGAGGAGCGAGTCGGCGTGAATAGCTCTGGACACGGAGTCGAGGTTGTTGGCTTGACGTCGCAGGGCCGTTCGCCAAGTAGTCATCGCAACGGACACCCAAGTGTAAACGACCATGACCACAGCCAATGTCACTCCGGTGCCCCAACCGAATCTGCGCCATAAGAAGAATACGGCAACAGCCAGGTCCACAAAAATGGGAGTTACCTGAAAGAATAGGTACTGAAAGAACGAAGAGATGACGCTGCCTCTGTCCAAGATGCGCAGCACTTCACCAGTCTTGCGCTTCGTGTGGAACGCCATGCTGAGATCCAAGAGCTTCTCAAACGCCATGATGCTGAGAGCCCTATCAGACCATTGCTCGACCGGGATCCAAGCGTAGCTCTGACCAAACGAGAGATTCGGCGAGATGAGCTTTCCAGATCTCTGTGTGTGAAGCTTTCAGCGGCACTGTCCCTTCGAATGACTCACCTGCGCGACGCTTAACAGCCCACCATTGCCTTGCAATGCTTTGAGTCCAGCATAAAGCACCAAGTCTGCCCAGGGTGTTGTACCCTCCGTGAGATCATCGACCACATTTCCAAGTGTCAATGGCACGAACAAGTTGACGATCCGTCCGGCTACAAGGATGAGCGCGCAGAGGAGAGCAAGACTCTGCAAAGAGATGGAATCCTTTGGCCACAGGTAAGGAAAAAGCGACGCTATCCTTGCCGCAAAGATTTTGACAGTAGGAGCTGGCGTATTGGCACCAACGGAGAGGCCCATCACGCCGGAAGCTTGACCTGGAGCGCCTGCCTGCTTAGGTGCTTGCTGGTTCGCCGGGGTATTTGCCCCATTCGTGGGAATAGGCGTGGATGCACCTGTGGAGCCATAGTTCGTGTTCGTTCCGTTCGCTGGCCCAGTCAGGAGAGAGGATGCTTCACTAGCGGGTGCTGCTGCTCGGCTGGAAGAGGCGCCGACAGCTTGCTGTTCTCTAGCACGCGCGGCAGCATTCGCACGTAGATCGGCAGCTCGAACGAACTGGGTCGAGTCGGAGCAGGCGAGGGCACATGCAGGATACAGAACCGCCAATCTGACGAGAATGATGGCCAGCTGCGCCGCTGTCCACCTTCCGGTCTTGGGAAAGTCCGAGTCGCCGCTCGAGGCGTATAGCCCAAGAACTGCAGCATCAGTGAATGCACCAATCAATATGGAACCGAGCACCTTTCCACGACCATATTGACCCCGACTTCGAGCCTCGATGGCGCAGGCCCCGGCGACAAGTGCCCAGGCGAGCAAGCCAATCAGGGCAGCAATGTCCGATCCGACCCACCGAGGGAGAGAAGGAGTCCATATGTGGTCAGGAAGAGCGGCGCGCAGGGCGATGAGGCCTCCGGACGCGACGTGCGTGGCAGCAAGCGCCAGAAGCAGAAAATGATTCAGCGCTCTCCTCCTCGAACGGACTGGGATCATGACGGGCGTGGGCTGGGGCGCTGCGCTGGTGGGAGAGAGCCTGCCGGATGATGGAGCCGCAGCATCTGCCTCGGTATCGATATCTGCAACCCGTATCTGAGCTCTAGCCAAGACATAGGGTCTTGCCAAAGATATCAAGACGAGCAGGATGATCAGCGATGGTTGCGCAAGCCGTAGCGCGTGCAAAGCTTCCAAGTGCCAGTCGGAGGCGCCTGGGTAGCTTTGAAGGTCGAGCGTATGCATCTTTGACGGAGCGGTCAGAAGCGCCGCCAACGAGGGCAGACCTCCGGAGAAGAGATATGCGCCAGGAGCACTCATTGTGACTGATGCCGAGATCATGCTGGATAAGCGGCGAGGTGTCAGGTGCTGGCAGAGGTGTGGGTGGGACCAACAAGAAGTTGCCTTGCTCTGCTCAACCCGTTTTCGATCACGTCAGCCCCGAGCCAAGCCGAATGAGGTCGCAGCTGTTGCTACTGAGCAATCGTGAATGCAGACTGGCGCCGTCTCCTGCTGTCCCTTAGCGGTGCGTGGCTGGCGTTGCAATTGCGAATCGTCAATGGTGGTGCAGGAACGTGACTGACCTGCATGGTCGTGATTGAGTCAAGGTGATTTGACCTTCTGTCCTGTCGCTCATCATCTCTCGTCCCTGCTGCCTCGAAGCGCGCATCTTGAAATACGCAGCATGGGCTCGAGCGGACGAGTGGGCGCACATGCGTAATGGTCACGTGCCAGCTTCGAAATGCAGGGAGGGGACACGAGTCCTTGAGTTTCACGTGCGAGACGAGACGCACGGGTGATCATCAGAGCAAATCGTTGATTGTAAAAGATCATTCAAGATTTTGATTCGGATTATTCTTGGTTTGAGCTTGTGAGGTCGTCCAAAAGAGGGCAGAGATGGCTTGACAGTCAAAGTCGTCTTGCAGAGATACATATACACACACAGCTCGTATCGGTCACTTGGGCGCACGACGTGGTGTGGAGGGGCTGCGGAGCAATCGCAGGCAGACCTGTTGCACTGCCTAGCAATCAATCACTTTCCACGACAATAAATACCAAGGCATGCGCGATTTTAGTAGAAACACATTTCGATCAAGTCGATCATCGACGGAGTGATCGTACTTTGAGGTGCACTGCAAAGCCACGAGTTGGTGGCTGACATGACAGTCACGACTCAAGACTACCTGCCTCACTGAGGTGGATGGTGAATCACAATGTTGAATGGCTGCCGCCTTCGGCAAAAGCGGCTCACATCTTGTCGTCCGAGAGAAATACCGATGCCTGCCTGCAAGGAAGCCCTTTCCCTTTTTCTTGATTGATTCTAATCACGAATACTGGAGTCTCGATCACGCGCTCCGGCACAAGCGGAAAGCTTGCTTTCAGTCGGGACAGACAGCAGAGAGCTGCTGCATGGTGCAGGCAGCCCATCGTGATTGATGAGTGACTTTCTTTTTGACTTCGACTCACCTGTGCAGCCTACCGTGCCTGTTCTGTTGTGCTTCTTCGGGTCGCGCGTGCGGGGGCTTCCTGCATAAACACGCCTCAAGCAGGCGGCATGCAGCTGCATGACATGGCCTCCTCTTCGCATTCACGTTTCCGTTCAAGTCTCACGATTTGCACCGTTCCTATGCCTGGCTCCTCGTTTCCACGCCCATTGCACTGCTTGCTTCGCTAGGCTCCTCCTCCGCTTCTGCTGCAATGGCCTTTCATCTGCAGCACTGCTTCCTCGCAACTTCCAACTTCATCTTCTCAAATGGTGGATGCGGCTGTTCCTTACCAGTCAAAGTGCCAAGTGTGTCAAAGCATCGGCTCATGATCGGCACCCAGAGCTTACAGTACGTAGCATGCTCGGCAAGCCAGTCAGTCGAGAAGGAGTCAAAGTCTCATTTAGATTAGAAAGGTCTGAGAACAGTGTCCTTCCCAGCTCTTACCCGCGCGTGCCGCCTCGCGGGCTCCTAAACAAGACGTCTTGTATTCCTGGACCCCTCTACCAGATGCCCGGACCCCTCGACCGTCTTCTTCCCACACATACGGCGAAGTGGAGCCGGGTCAGATGCCTCGCCCTTGTGAACGTGTGACGCCGTGTCTGCAAGTATATATCTTCTACCTAGCCTTGGTGTTGCTGCTCCCTTTCCATAAATCGTACTCCCCTCCTCCTCCGTATTCTCTGACCGTCGAGCTGGACTTTGGCGTTCCGTCAAAGTATCATTGCTCGCACCCGGCCACCATTGACTTGCCCCCTTCGCATCCCCAAACTTCTGGTTCCGCCTCATCATGCTCCTTCTACGTTCACTCAGTCTGTTGCTGGTTGTGAGCGCGTGCCCAGCGTTGTCTGCGTCAATTGGCCTGAACAGCAATCCGCCCAGCATCAGTCTTGGCCAAGCGACGGTGGTTGGCTCGTCTGCAAATGGCATCGAGGTAAGCGACTTCAAATTCAGGCTTCTTGGCGAACGACTTCACTAACCCATTCGCGATTCTTGCAGTCCTTCAGAGCTTTGCGATATGGCAAGGCTCCGGTAGGAAAGCTTCGCTTCATGCCACCCGTGAAGGCTGATGCACCCACCGGAGTGCTCCAAGCGACGCAAAATCCACCCTCTTGTCGCCAGATGCCGCTTATACAACGTGAGAGCGCCCCGCAAACTATCACGACACAGTCTAAGACTTATCTGCCATTCCGTCACGCTTTACGTAGCACCCGCAAATCCATACACCGATGCCATTAATAAATTCTTCAACTCGCAGAACGACAGCGCCTTCGCTCAAGGATTCGCACGTCTCAATGCACCAACCAACGGTGGACAGAGAGGAAGCGAAGTCAGTGCGCTGCCAAGCTCCAAAACGTATGATGCTTGCTGACCGCGACATCCTCCTCGCGCGAAATCCAGGACTGCTTATTTCTGAACGTGCACCGTCCAGTGGGCACCAAACGAGACGCGAAGCTGCCAGTGCTTTTCTGGATGTACGGCGGTGGCTTTCAGTTTGGGTCGCTTGACACCTACGAACCCACAAGCCTCATTCAGCGCTCTGTCAGCCAGAAACAACCAATGATCTACGTTTCCATCAACTACCGTGTCGCAGCTTACGGCTTCCTTGGCGGGCCAGAGATAAAGTCAGCAGGTTCGGGCAACATGGGATTGCGCGATCAGCGCCTTGCGATGGAATGGGTACACGATAACATTGCCGCCTTCGGTGGAGATCCGTCAAAGGTGACCATCTGGGGCGAATCAGCAGGCGCCATCTCGGCTGGACTGCATCTCGTGTCGCGCGGCCAGACAAGCTCGAAGGGGCTGTATCGTGCTGCCATCATGGAGAGGCGAGTGAAATCATAAGGACAGCCTTGTTTGAGCGTGGATGCTGACGTCAACGAAATGCGTCATCTTGAAACAGCGGAAGCCCCTACGGTCTCGCCAAGACAGAGGATGTTACTCGGCCCATCGCAGTACTATCGGGCGCTGCGGGATGCAACAGCGCTCCCGCAGGGCGGCTTGCTTGCTTGCAGGCCCTCAGCGCAGACGCGCTAGATAATGCAATGAATCAAGTCCCCGGATTGGGGACCTGGTCCGGCGTGACTCTAGCCTGGCCACCAACTGTTGACGGGGATTTTATTCCTGGTGAGGCTGCGTGGCAGATCAGATAGGTGCGCCGTGCGGAAACAACGTTGACGATTTCTGTTACCCTCAAGACACTCCCGACAACCTCGTCGCACAAGGAAAGTTCAATCGAGATGTTGCGATAGTCAATGGCGACAATGAGGATGAAGGTACCATCCTGACCACGCCTGCCGTTACCCTAAACACGACGGACGACGCGGGATTCAAGCGTTGGGTTCGAGAAGTAAGTCTGGTCCGCTTGCTTGAGCACGTGCGAGACATGCTGATCTTCCTTCGAATACGGTCATTCTAGGTCCTCTACACCGATATTTCCGAGGCGGATTACCAGCAACTCGCCAAGTTGTACCCAAACAATCCTGCTGACGGCAGTCCGTATGGCACAGGGCTGTACGGTGCTCTGAGTTCGCAGAACAAACGCGTTGCTAGCATCTTTGGTGGTGAGTTTTGTAACGCGGCAACACTAAGACTGACTCCCCGCTCACGTTGAAAGCTATGCGCCTCTACACAACGACATGACAGACGCTACCTTTCAAGCCCCCCGCAAGCGTCTCCTAAAGGAGGTACAGAAGTATCAGCCGCGCAACACGTTTTCATACAACTTCAGAGGTTTCAAGGTACGTATCGGAAGACGTAGTGCACATGGGGGCTGTGGATTGTGGTCAACTGATCGTCTTCCACAAACCTTCTACAGTACGTATTCCTGATCGGATCCTTCCATGCCTCGGAGCTACTCTACACGTATGGATTTGTCAACACTCGACTCACCGAAGAATTTCAGTCTAGATTCATCGCGTTCGTCTCTACCTTGAACCCTAACTTCAACAACGGCCAGCTCGCCTGGCCCGTCTATGGTCAAGACAGAAAGGTGTTGACGCTCGACGAGCTCACAACGACGGTGCAGCCAGACAACCAGCGCGATGAGCCTCAGGCATTCCTCGATAGCCTCGCGCTTAGGGGTCTCGGGCCCAAATACCGAATCTGATGCGAAGGATGACTGGTCACCGGTCGACATGCTGCTCTTCTACATTGCAGCACTTGAGTCACACTCCAGCTCGACTCAATGACTACCCACTGAAGCTAGGATACCATGTCCCTCGCCGACGGATACATCTGGATTTTCTGCTACATGTATTTGTCTATGCTCATCAGGATATTTTGTTTTCGTGATTGCATCTGCTTTCGTGACTTGAGAAAATCTCATGCGCGTATTTGCTCTGAGAGCGCTTCAGACCACATCACTTGAT